CCTCGTTCTTTTGGCAAACATATTACTACGAATTCAAGTGCTGCCGCAAATAGATGACTGAAATTTTTATAAATTTCTATCATCAATAATATTATTAAATTTTTATATATCTAGTTGCTTGTTTAACGAAATCAATTTAAACTAATGAGAAAGTAAAATTAGTTTTTTCGTTAAAATTTTATTTACATAAATTATTTAGTTGAAATATTATTAAAATTTAAATGCGGAGCGTTCAATAATGAACTCTGTGAGAGTTTTTTTGCAATGTTTTCATGTTAATTTCGCCTTCTCCTCATTTATTTGTCAAATTTAATTATCTTAGAAGTGCTTGGACGAGGTTACCTACTTGCTAAATGTATTTCATGTATTTCATTAATTTAAAATCTATAAATTAATTTACAAGATTTGTAAATTTACAAGATATTAGTGACCATAGTTATTAGGGAGCGTCACGCATTAGACCGTGAAGGCTGCTTGAAAATTCAATATCTGCTAAAGTTTGCATGAAAAGTCCATCATTTATGGAACTTCCTAAAAACTAAGAACCTTAGAATTGATCTGGAAGCACAAGATAATTGAATGGCATATTGCAGTAATTGCTTCACATGTTGATTTCTTTGCACCACTATCCTTTACATTTGATGGTGAGACAAATGGATATAAAAATCAAAATTTGAATAGTGTTGGAGACCGATCTATTACTTCTATTCCAAAATGGTTCTCTGGCGAAGAGGTCCTATTCTACTAATCGATGGATTTAATTGAATCAGAAATAGTGAGTGCTGTTAAAAAAAGACCTCCGAATATAAAAATTTTTGATTTATTCGTAGGACATTGCAAAATAAAAATTAAATCAGATGTTTTTAAAATTCTTTAAAAATTACAGATTAGCGGATATTTTCTTGAATCAAATTCCTGGAATTAATCAGTGTGCAATCGAAGAACAATTTGATAAACTAAGTAATAATTTGATGCGAAAAATTTTTAATTTATAAATGAATTAGATGGAATTAATGCTTGGAATGAATTGGAATGAATTGGAATGAAAAGTTAATTCAAGGAAAAGGAAAAATGATGTTTCAGCTGATTTTTCTCAACCAAAATTGAATATTTGAATATTATTTGAATATCATTTTAAAACAATTGTATTCAAAATGTCATTCAACAATCAGAATTATGTCTTATGTCTTTGTACTTCCGTATTATTTATTTTCAACGTAATTTTCCTATGATTCCTATTTTATATTATGGCATTTTGGTTAATCAAATTATTTCCATCCGCTTAGTTTTCCAATGCAAATTTTTTTGCGGAAATCCAGAAATCTTGGAAGATTTGTTTTATAGATTTATGTATCTAATGTTTCTAATATCAAATATCAAGCTAATATTCTAATATCAAGCTAAAAATCTTTTCTTGTTCGCTTATTCTGTTTGGGCATAGATTTTTAAAAAATTTTATGATACAGCGACAAGGCTTATGTAACTAAAGCGCATAAATTCGGTTAATTAGCTTCGTACTTCTGCTTTTGCGCAAAGCACAAGCATAAACGATAGAAGCATTATTTAGTGGCCATACTTTCGAAACTCCTGTGATGGCGTCATTAAATAGAACTCAACTATCTGCGTAATTTAACGTAGAAATTAACTGGAATTAGAACGATAGTGCTGCACATCAGAATTTTCATTTAAATCATCACTAAAGTTTTCTTGAATTTCCAAAATTCTTGAGATTATTTTCTAAACAATTTTTGAATTTATCGCAAGCAAAGATATTTCAATCAATCAATCTCAATCAATCGAATTTTTTTTCATCTTTTTGCAATTCATTTCATTTATTATATGAAATAGTGGCTAAGTGCCACTCTTATCGGGCCACTTTTTTATTTCTGCACATTTTTTTGCGATTAGTTCGAAGCAGAAAAAGTGGTTCAAACGAAAGCTTGAATTAAATTCCATCGCCGCAAAAAAACGATTTTCATTCGATTTTCTATCGAATAATTCATTTCTTTAGATTGTATAAATTTAATTTGCAATTATTTTTTATAAGATTTCATTATTAAAATATATGGATTAGTGTTGGCTGAAATTTTTGATTAATTATTGACTCACAAAGTTATTTATTTTTTTTAACAATTATTCTATGCTTAGTGAATGAATATTGCAAAACAAGTCATTATTAATTAAAAGAACAACGAAAGTAAATCTAGAAAATTGTTCCAAAAATTTTTCTCTTTCTACCACTAAGTATTAATGATCAATGTTGAAGAACATTCGCACTTGTTTCCAATTGTGGATGAACCCATTCATGTAAAAACTGCCAAAAACTTCAAAATGGTATTTTTTGAATTTAAAGAATTTTCACCATTCTATTTTAAATTTTTTTCTAAATTAGCTTTCGCTTCGCATATTTGAGTATTAATTTTATCAATTAATTTTCATTAATTAATTTTAATTTACTCAATTGTCTTGAAGTTAATTACGATTTATCCCAGGTTAAGCTTTTTTCCATAGACAATTTCTGTAAATTTCTTCTGTTAATGTTTTCTTATTGGCTTTTTAAAACTTTATCTTTTGAAAAGGAAAATTTGTTTGCAGAAAAAAATTTGAAGATTTTTAGGATATCACGCTTAGTCTATTTATAATTTCACGAAATTCAGTTGAAGTCAATAAATCGTACCATTAATTGGAGGGATTGCGAAATTACTGGGTCACATTTTTAAAAGTATTCGTTACCTAGGTGAATCGAACTGAGATAATAATTATATAATTCCATGGGAACGATATAAGCATAAATTGCTCTTTTTATTGCCGAAAATTTAAACTAAATAAATTATTTTTTTAATTTTTTTTCCATTTTGATCTAACGAAAAAACGAATTTGACAAATTTTGTTTAATTTACTAGAATGAAAAAAACGGATGAATGTGAGTTTATAAATTGACAATCATTTGTTCACAGCTTTGTTTTTTTCATTTTTTTTCTGATGAAAGAAATTTATTTTATAGAAAGAAATCATGAAAATCATAAAATGGAATAATAGCTTCTTTCAGTTACTCGTATGAAAATGCTGATATCAGTCGCTGTTTTCCCTGTTCAGCTTAGTTATTTATTTATAACACTAAGTGAAAGGACCAAGATGATGACCATATATTGGTATTAGAAGCAATGAAGACAACGCAATGAAGTGAAATTTTCACCAAGGCATCAGCAAAAACAATGATATTAAGTTATATGAGGAAGATTCCAAGGCTAATCTTTTTATATGGCGTACTAGAAATATGTGAAGAAAAAATAAATTAAATTTTTTGAGAAATAATCATTCGTGAACTTATATTTTTTGAAGGGCAATTTTAGTGCCATAACCAGAAATCTATAAATCTTGCGAACGGAATGAGAAAATGGAAATCGAGCTCCAACACTCTGCTCCTACTACTTTCAGAAAAAAAGCTATCTCTAAAAATTTTCTTGTTTTTTCTAGAAAATTGCTTTTTAAAATACCAAATCCAACAAAATAAAAGGCTCATGAAAATGCTCTTAAGAATTAAGATTATATTATATGGTTTAAAACTATTTTACCAATAAAAAAAATGTCTATCATCGCGGCCATTTGCTAAAAAGAAATTTACTAGATTAGCTTTGGTTTCAGAATTACAAGAACGATTTAAAAAGCGCTTCATAAGCGCTTTAAAAAAAGTTCATCGATATTTATTCAGTTTATTCAGTCAGTTCATTCCGATAGCATTAAGTAGCATAATATATTAAAATCTACTGCTAAGATTTAAGCATCGGTCCTTTTCATTCTTGTTTTATTTTAATACAGGCTAAAAAATTTGCCTAAATTTTGCCATTATTTCGAATGAAAAAAGATTTATTTCGAGCAAAATTGTCTAGTGATTAGATTATCATTTTGAGCACGATTAGCCCTTAGAAAAAGGAAATTTTTTGGGGTCTTAGATTTGAAGAGAATGGAAAGTGCTGATCACTTACTCTTACTTGTTTTTACTTATGAATAAAAAATGCAGTAACATATAGACCATCATGTTTTCCAGCTAAATGAGCTCCAAACTTCGATTTTGAAGATATGCGTTTTAAAATCATTACAATTACGCATGAGATGGCAATTTTAATTATATGTTTGAGCTTGATAAACTAAAATAACACATAATCATGAAGAAAGCTGTAATTTAATGCTTCATTTTTAATTAAATATGTCTTAATTTTGCATACCTATGACAAGATCGTTTTAATTATTTTATTTCTTTTTAAAAACTATTTGAATGAGAAAATAAGATGTTTAAAGACTTCTTAGGGTGATTTTCTAGTAAAGGATCCTTCCAACTTTATATATAAATATCGCGCCTTATAAAGCTCAGTTTTCAGGCTTTTAAATGAATTTTATCAATAATTCACCTATTCATATACTCTTATATATCCCTATCTAAATCAAACTGCTATTCGGTGTTGATTAGAAAGAGTTTGTTTGCAAAAATGAGCCCATACTGTAACCCATGGAGCGAGCTCCCTTCTAACTCTTAAAAGAATTTTCAGCAAGAGAGGGTAGTTCAAAATAAATTTTTAAAAAAAGTTACAAAAAAAGGTACAAAAAAAGTTTTTATTTCATCAAATCAGTTTGTTGCAGCATTCTCGATTGAGAAGCTCAGGAAACAATCAGTATATTGTTCAATAGACCGGAATGAGGAACTGGTAGTGGGCAATGAATATACATCTATAATCGCTATATACTAGAAAATATTGAACATTCTGCGATGTTGTTAGCAGCAGATTAATATTCGAATATCATTTCCAGGACATTAGAGCAGATAATATGGGCATTTCTCATTAAATTCTGTTTTCAACTTGTCAATAACTAGTGATTTTTTTCTCCTCTGCAATGAGCTCGAAGGATCATAATTCACTTCCATATGTTGGTTTATTATAAAAAATAAAATGATTTTTACTTTTGAGCTATGAAATGGGAACACTTGTTATATAATGCATTTGATGATACGACATGATGCAACGGTTTGAGTAAACAAATTGCTCATATCGACGAACTTTTAAGAGTAGTTGAATTTATTTAATCTCTAAGATCGGAGCTTAATGGAGACGATATTTAACTAGTTCAAGATTCGATGATGAAATCTTGAAAAAGAAAAATCTTCATTTTGAGCTATGAAAGAAATAAATTGTATGATAGAGAACGAAACCGAGCAAATTTATTTATACGCAAGATTCCTTCCCTAAGAGATTAGAATTTTTGGAAGCAAAAAAAATGCAATGAAATAGAGAGCAGAGGCTTGATAGAAGTTGAACTAAGCATAGCTACACTTTAAACTGCAACTGGGTAGATTTCCTAACAAACATTTCCACTTTTTTGCGCAGAATAAATAGTGGATTGATCTGGATTGCTAATTAAATTTTTAGAATTGCGTTTACAAGCACTAGGGCTTTAAATATATAATATCTAATTCTTTTTTTTTATTTCATATATTTCATTTTAAAATTTTTAAGCCATAAAAAATTTTTAGCAAAGTTCATCAAGTAAAATCAGAACTTCACTTTTACCGACGAATAGTTTATTAGTTCCAACCAATCTAAGGCGATGTCGGTCAGCATCACCGCTATCATCACGATTTCCACTTTTAAGCAAAGAACAGCAAGCGCTTATCAAGTACATTTCATTTCATACTTAAAATGCAAATTGATAAGAAATAATGAAATTTTTTGGAATATTTAATTAAATTGAGAAACCTTAATTAGAGAAGATAAAAAAGACTCCAAGAAATGATTTTGGATTGCTTGTATTGCAAAAAATTTTTCTCGTTTTCTCTATAAACCCAAAATATAGTAAAATGAAAAACCACATGAAGTACATGAAAAACTGAAAAGTAAAAGCTACATACTATAGGTGGGCAGCTTGTCACTGCAGAAAGTCGAACTTTGCAACTCTCCTCCTTTTCCTCTCCTTTTATATGATTGAATTCTCCTTTTTATATGATTAAATTACTACTCAAATTTAGTTTAATTTAGTTTCTTACAATTACTTACAAAATCCACTACTTTCTTACAATATTTCCATTCTCTCTCATCGATTATTTCTCAATTTGATTTTAAAAAAACTGGTGCTACAATCCTCTTTTCTTTTGCAAGCTTTTTATACCATCTGAGATTGGCATGATAAAATCTGCTGTAAAAAGATAGGACGAAGTTTCTGGAACTATTTTCTGGAAATATATTGTTTTAGGCGATCTTGGCAAAAAGTTCCACGTGCAGTGGTGGGTAATTCAATATGTGCACATATGACGACAAGGAATGAAGATATGCGCCCTGTATTCGGTGGTGATTTGAATTCCATCCAACGTCATGCACGACATTTTGTAGGTCTCTTACAATGCGCCATCGATAATATAGCTGATTTGGAGCAAGCGCTACAGCCTTGGCTTGATTTAATTGGCCAAGGTCATAATGGTTTTGCTATAAGGTTTGCACTTTTCAAGAAAGCCTTGTAATCGCCAGAAATTTGAAGCACGATTCATTAAGATTTCAAAAGCATTCAAAAGATGCATATGAGAGAAAGGGTGTTCAATACGAAGTATTTTCTCAATTAAATGAAACCTTACTTGCACTTTAATTTTTACATTTGATTTGTTATTAATAAATAATATTCTCAAAAAAGATGACGAAAATCTAATAAACTATATGACAAACGATAGAAATATTTATTTTCAGAAGTTCTGACTGGGATGCCTTAGGAGAAGCAATCGTTGATGCTGTAACAAAGTGGATAAGTCCTGGAAAAGGCCACAAAGAAACTGTCAAAGCGTGGATGTTATTTACGTGCTTTCTGTCAGATTGCTTAGGTGCAGCATCAAGAGCTGGCATTCATAATACGTCGTCTATTCCAAGACTGCAACTTATTACATTAATGGTTTCGGGTCCTCCTAGCCAATTGAAAAATCAGTCCTAGCTATCACTAAAATGAATCTTAAGGAATGCAATCTTCTTGAAGCGCAGTGATGTTCAATCCTCAAAATCCTTTTGTTGAACCCTCGCTCTATTAAAGTTCGTCGTTGCTTGAATGCTGCACTTTTCTTTTTATCCTTTATTTTATTGTTTCTTTAATTTTTATTGTTTCTTAATTAAGTTTTCTATTAAAATCGTTAATAATTCGCAAGTTTTTGGCTGCCTTGCTTCCTTTGGCTTTATCTGAATAAATATATAAAAACACAATGAAGGTTAAAAATAAACACGGTTTGTTTCTATATTATCAGTATAACTCTTAAAATGTTACTAGCAAATATATGCATTGAATAATATAATAAAAAAACCTCGTCTAAGGCAGATTAAAGGGAAAAAAACAATAATAATGTGAGAAAATAATGAAAGCAAAATTATAATAAAAAATACAAATAACAAAACATAAAATACATAAAAAGCTTAGGCTTAAAACCCTTATAAACGGAATCTACATACAATAAGAAGACAAGAGGGCAAATTTCTTCCTTAGCCATAGTAATACATAGGCTCGTAATTCCTTTATTTTTCAAAATCATTTTTATTCACCTAACAATTTGCACAAACACTGAAAACTACTTCAATGCATTAATTTCGTGGATTTTAACTGATCATATTATAGCTGGATTTGAGAGAATATAAAATGCATCGGCAAAAGAGATGCAGGGTCTAATGGTACCAAAGATGTTGACTTTGATCAAAATAGCGGCCAGGCATAACAGAATCAGGTAAATAAGTAGATTCAATGAAGTTTTAGAGAATCAGAAAAAGCGATAAGGAATATGTGGATATAGTTTGAATTTTAAGGATAAAGGGACATAAGACTGTGAAAAATTTGCAAACGCGTACAGCATCACGGCTTTACAGAGCCCGATTAAAAAAATAAATTAAGGAAAATTGCGATTGAAGAAATAGAAATAAAAGTGCAATCGCCCACATTTTGGGAAGTACTGAATGCTTTAATTTTAACAATTTTAATCAAACTTGAATATATTTGAGATTTTCAAAGAAATCGTGAACTAATATATATTTGCAAGTTTGAATAATTTGAAAGAAAGGCTCGAATCATGAAATATAAAATCCCAATATTACAACCTGTTTTGATGGGTCAATTAGGTCAGCGCGAAAAAAATGCATGCGAAGCAAATCATTCTCATTATTTCCAATGAAATTTAAACCATCGTTACCTTTTGTTTGATTCTTTAAGAAATTATTATTATTATCGAGTTCACAATTTATTAAAAAGATATTTAGTTTAATGGGAACTTGAGCGTATCGTCTTTGCTCAGCTTTATTAGCGAGGAATCATTTAAGCATTTTCGCATTCTTTTCAAGTGAATGCATAAAATGCATAAAATTTTTTGTTTCAGTTTAGGCATCGACTTAGCTTTAGGAAGAGCTGATAAGGATGGAATGGTCGGTTTGCTTCTATAAAGCCAAATATGCCTTGAAAATGAAATCCGGTTGGTGACGGTGACCCACTTCTAATTCTGTCCGCAAGGGCCTCTCTAACGTTCTCATTCCCAATAACCAGTAGAGTCAATCAGTCAATCCAAGGGAAGTGAGTGGAATTAGTTGAAAACTAATTTTTTCTAATCTTGATAAAGCATAAATATTGACATAAAAAAAAACTCGATTTTTTCCTCTCTTATTTAATTATGGTTTTTGATATTTGATATGGTATTTAATTATGATTTCTATTCCTATTGCAATATTTAATTATTTATTTGTAGAACTCTTTAAAACAAATTTTTGAAAATTGAAATTAAACAAATGAGAGGTTTGGAAATGTGAAGAAAGAATATCTGGGAGTAAAAGAAAGTGGAGCATAAATCTAAGATAGTTTTCTGGATCTGATAATTCGTTTAATCCTTCTTAGAAATTTTTAACCTCTTTAAAAACTTTTTAAGGCTCGAACTGGATTCGGCTAATTCGCTGATGCTGAAAAAATTTATGTTGAGCTTAATTTTTTTCTTATTGTCTTTACCGCTCGTCTCAAGTCTATTTTTTTCCTGTTTTCCTGGCATATGCACGTTAAATTGTTATTGTCAGACCACATATGCCTATTGCCCATGTCATCAATTTAACAGACGGTGCAACTGTGGCTTTAAGCAAAGTTTTCCGAGTGGACAAATGTCTAGTCATCAACATGAGGTGATGGAGCCATATTATAATCATCAACAACCTAGGAATTTAAATTTTCGCATATATACGGAGAGCACCACAATTTCACCACCGCCTATCACTATTCTGCTCACTTCAAAATCGACGAAGCCGAAGCCAACAAATCATACAAATGTATTGATGAGTTTTAACTATCTTTTTATCCTAAGATTTCAATTAATTACTAAATTTATTAAAGCATTTCATTAAGCCAGAGTTTCCCAAACTGTGTTCCGCAGAAAATTCATCGCTAATTTCGTTTATTATATTTAAGTTAATTTTTTTTCAATTTTTATATAAATATTTGATGTATTATGATGATTTTGCATAACCAAACACTTGAAAACACTTGAAAACTTGAAAACATCTGTTTCTTTCAACCCAAAATTCAATTTAAATTTTTTATGGCGAACAAAATTTTGGGAAGCATGGATTATTCAGCTATTTCTTTTCTAAATATCTGGTTGACTCTTACCATTTCCATTTCATTAGCCTGCTAGTACGATGAAAAATTTCCTTCAGAGAGTCACTTGGCGATAGAAGTGATTGCTAGCATCACCCAGCTTTTTAACAGTGAGTTCATTTCTATCGAAGACAGGACTCGAACTTTTGAAGTTCAAATTGATAGTTTGAGTCACAAACAATCAGCTCTACTGTATCCTTTCATATCATAATTCATTATATAAATCATTATATGCACTTTTAACTTTTTATTCTTTATATACATATATACATATATATGTATATATAAATGTCACTGAAAAATCCGCATGGTTCTGGACTATCTTTAGTGGAGATTCCCAATAACATTGGATCAGGCATAATCAGATATGAAGAGATATGAAGAGAGAACTACTTTCTTTTTAAAGAGTTAACTTACATGAAAAAATTCCCCTCACAACCTTGAAATGGAACAACTTCGATTCTTGACAGATTAAGCGCAAGCAGAAATGGAAGATTCGTTCTAGATAAGTGAAAACTACAAATTGGGACTTGAAAATTTCATATATATATATATATATGTAAAGAATAAAAAGGCAAAGAATAAAAAAAAAATCAAGAAATGTTTCCACAAATCATTTCAGTCTCCAGCAATGCAATCAGATACATTAATTAATTGCTTTCAATCAACTTCACTATCAGGTCTTTTTTCTATTTCATTTCATTCATTTCATTCCCTATTCAAACGAATCCTATCTATATTCATTATTTTGACCATACAATTTTAAGGATGCATAAATAGTTAGTGGTATGGTTGACTTGATTTTGTTAATTAGGATCGCGAATAATTGTGTTTCTAAATTTTCATTGATGGTTTATTCTTGTGAATATAATAATTAATGCTGGAATTATTTTACGTGCTGGCAATTATGCAGTCCACCCTGGATTTGATCCATAAATTTTATCAATTTAACAATAATGCATTCATTTATTATCTTAAATAATGGAATCTAATTTGAGAAAAATTCACACTATCCAATTTTTACAGATACCAAGAAATAAGAAATAAAAGAATCCTCTTCATTAAATCAAAAAAATTGCTTTGACGGAAATAGTCCGAGTTAATTATTGTTGCCTTCCTCCTTATTTCATCTGTATAACACTTGTTGATCTTAAATTTATCTGAAATTAGCAAGTCAGCAATTTAACTTCTTTCATTTTTCTACCTTCTAATTGCTTTCTTTTAGGATTGCAATGCTGCAATGATGATATTTACAAGATTATTTTATATGCCTTAAGCGAAATGAAGAAACAAAATTATAATGAATGCAATATTGATCTTATGGCCAAAGTACGCATTTTTAATAAAATTTTATTTGATCGGCAGTAGTCCATAAAGTAATTAAATATATTCATTTTATAAATAAAGGAAAACATTCTACAAGAAATTGAAGATTGCAGAAAATTGAAGAAAAGAACGCTTCACTTGTTTTATCAAGGAAAATTGTTAAAATCTACATTTAAATTAAATTCTATCTTAGAAAGATTCCTTTCGATGAATTTTTTCATCGTCTTTTAAGAGGCGGAATGTATTCTTGGGTAGTGGTTCAAAGTATCGTGTAGATCAGCAAGCGTTCAGATTCTGCTGCTGTGGGCATGAATAAGGCTAATGAGTAACCATTAAGAATTCGAGTCCTAGATATTCAAGTACACTTCTGCTACCAATAAGCTACTTGAAAAATATTTTTAATCATATTAACAATAAGCAGAGGTAGTGCTGACCATTTGTAAATATCTTATACCAATGCAGAACAATCATCGAATCTAATATAATTGGTGATTCATATTTAGGGAAAGAATAGACGAGTAAGCAAAGTTGGAGATATTTGCTAGGGAATCATCTGGCTGGATGTGCAAGTGCACCACATTTTTTTTAAAAGCAGGGAATGAACTTTTCTCTCAACACAATAACACATTATGTTACTGTACTGTTTCCAAGTGGTGTTTTGCTTAAAGGAAAACAGATCCACTATTCAATTTTTGCTCCTTGGCGAGAATTGAAGTTCGAGTGGCGCTGGAGGCACACTCGCACTTTTATTTTATTCCCAAGTGATTTTTTGACGAAGAGATACAAATATTTAGCCAGTCAAACCAGAAATTAGTTAAACTGGACGAAAAAAAACCATTGATTTATGAGGCTTGACTTTTTCTTCTTCTTCTAATAGCTCTCACCATTACTGATTAAGCTGGCTTCACTGGCTATAAGGGTAAGTTTCCAAGCTACATAATCTGATGTTATCGTCGAAAGTAATAGAAGCCATTCTTTTTTCCATCGTCTAAGTCCATATATAGCTGGTCCACCAATACATTCAGAATCTTTCCTAACCTTATGTCCAAGTCTCGATTGGTCCACCTCGTTTTTGATGCCATCCATCACAGGGTTTAGCAAAATATTTGTCAGTTTTTGTGGTGGGCGACGAAAAATGTGCCGTAACCAACGACGTTCTGTAAATGGTGCTGCTAATGCAAGTGGTATTTAATCGATGTATGCAATTAAAGATTTTATCTACTTGGAGAACCCGTAAAATGTATCTTAGACATGAGTTGAAAGCAGAGAACTTCTTAATATCCTCCATTTACATTGATTCTGAGTCCAATTCTTGCTGCATTTGTTGTCACATTTTTTAGCATTATTTGCATTTCATCGTAAGTATAAAAAGGATTACATAATCAGCATATTCAAGATCTATAATACGATGCTCTGGAGTGATTTGTACTCTAGACCACTTGAGTGCCGATGTCCATTATTCCGTCTATCATATAGTTGAATATTTAGGGGAAATTCCTTAATGGACACCAGTTCCTACTTCAGTTTACTTCAGTTTCCCATACTCTGTGTCGTCACCGATAAAATTCTTCTATAAGTCTCTCTGGAACACATCACCCTTCAGAGTGCCAAATGAATTAAAAGCAGAGTTAATAAAACACAATGTTGAAAATTTTTGAGATAGCGATGTTCAACATTCTTCTTAACATGAATATCTGGTCAGTTCAACCGCATCCTGGTCTAAACCCAGCTTGGTTAGGAGGTATTCTGCTGTCTCGTACGGTCCATTGAGTAGAAGGGAAGCATAATTTTTCGCCGAGATGTCTAGTAAGCTGATTTCTCGGTAATTATCACAGTATGTCCTGTCATCTTTCTTAGGAATTTGGTACTTTGCTACAGTCAACAATCATCTGGTATTGTTTCTGAGGGACGATGGATAACAATTGAAGAGTTCCCGAAAGTCGTCTTCTACTGGACTTTTATTGGCCTTAAGCTTATGGATAACGGAAATTATTTCCCCTTCTAATTGGCATTTAGCAGTTGCAAACGAATGATTCGACGAACAAATCAGCTATGTCTGGTGCAACAGATGGCGCATGGTGATTAAGTTCGGTCTCAAAGAATTCCTTACACCTTACGACACCGACACGATACTCTTAACAGGCACCCCATCCCTTACTATTTCATTGATCGTTCTCCGATTTATAGTTCCTTATGAATAGTCTCATATTATCGCCTAATCGAGCCACCATCTTCATTCTCAAGATCAAACCCGCACCAATAGCATATCACGCCATGCCATCGTTACAATTCTTCGAAGGCATCCGGTGGTCAGAATCTCTTGACGTTCGTGCTTTGGCAGGTTTTCAGATTGTTGGATAGTTGTTTCGAATACCCAACTAGCGCACTTTCTACTAGTATGTCCAAGCGTGGCAGTGACTGACTTTCAAAGATATTCTTTAATTGGAACCAGTATTCACCTTACCAGAAAAGTCATTGATATTTATAGCACTGAGGTGCTTTAATGATTCGATTTGAAAATGCACTTATCCTCTATTATTTGAGATAATTGAAAGATCTTTGAGGGAGGCTGTTTCTTGCGAGTTAATTTTATGCCAATTTTGGCTCGAACTATAACATGGTCAGATCCATGAAGGTTACCCGTTTCAGCGCCCGCGATAGGAATAACTATCTAATACTCTTCCAATGATGAATGACCAAGTAATAAATCTGGTTGGAGTGTTGGTTATCCGGAGATTTCCACGTGACTATATGTTTCCTCCGATGCTGAAAGAATGTATTAATAACAAAGAATTCATGCTCTTCAACAAAACGAAGGCGTTCTCCATTGATACACTGAACTCCGATGCCATATTTGCCAATTGTCCAGTTTATCATAGCGACATCATAATCTACGCTCGCATTCCAGTCTTCTCCAATTATGATCATGTCATATTTCGATAGAGATAGAACAATTGAATATTCTGTACAGAACTTATTTTTATCACGGTCATCTGCTAAAGTTGGAGCATATACATTGATTATTGAGATACTGAGAACTTACCTTTAAAGTGGGTATACACTCAATCAGAGCAGATCGAGTTTTTTCAAGCGTGACAATCGCTACGCCATTTCGTCCCATTATTTAAAACATCAGTATCTCTGCTCGGACCTCCATCAAATTTTGTAATTACCTGAAGTAAGGAAAATAAACCTCCGACAGGCAGCTGACGACATTCAGAAAGAGTGTGGATTATCGCTTGATTTGCAACGTCCATAAGCGTTCTTACGTTTCACGTTGCTACAACTAATATCTCATCACGCGTACAGAGTCTCTTGACGAAGTAATTTTTCGAATAATTGCTCTGGCTTGCGAGCACATTTTATTTACAAGCCTTAGGATCATTTCACGCCCAGATTACACTTATCGAATGTACCACTGGGCTGAATATCATGCCTGTCGGAGAATGCGGACGCCGTGCCAACAGCATTGGCCCTTTTACCAAATAATCAACTGGGGACAGAATTACAGGTGAGTCCCCAGCAGCCACTGAGACTTGGTTTATCTTATCTTTATTAATTTAAATCTTCTAAAAACTGCTTTAATGTATTTATATAAACCTTAAAACAATCCTGAAATTTATTTATTTTATTTTATCTTAGATTACATTGACTTTACAAAAATTACAAAAAATTGAAAATGTTTTGCTAATTCGAAATAAAATAATATATTCTAAAGAATTTTAAGACCATACAGTATTATTTGCAATTGGTGCTACATATGAGTTTCGAAGTTATTGTTGCTCTAGGCGATTTGGTTTTACTTACAACTGATAAAAGTGATCTAAAGTGCAAAATTTTCATCGAAAACAAATTCATACTAGCTTATGCCACTCCTGTGCAGGTAACACTATTTTTTTAAAAAAATTTCTTGACATTTCTATTTGCTATTTCGACAAAAGGTAAGTTCTCTTTTCTTGAAATAAAATTGTAAAATTGTAAAATTATACTGGAATGAACATTATGGCAGTATAATTTCCCCGGAAGAAAGGAAAAGCACGGATCCTCGAACATTTCTCTTCAATACATTTTAAATGCTATTGTGGCCAGTAATCAAGCAAACAACCAAATGTCTACTCCAAACAATGTTCAAAAAAGAAGTATAATTTAAAAATTTAAAAATAAAAACGAATAAAAAAATTCTTCGAACCGCTGAAATCTACCTCTTTTTTAACCTTTTTTCTTCTAAGAGCTTCTTCTATTTCTCGTTTGGATAGCTATTTCTCGTTACTAAAATTTTACTAAAATTATACATCTTTGTTAGATAGCCTCCTGGGAATAGAAATGCAGATGTATTCGCACTCCCCCTTTTATTACAATAATTAATGATTGTAATGAAAATATTGTATAAGATGAGTACAAGTACCAGTTCGAATAATTTAAGGTTATATTTTTCTGTTCATTTAAATAATAACGATAGAAAAAAATGAAATCCATATCTGCCATTCATATTATATACTAGCAAATTCAGGTAAAAGGATTATTAATATTGCATTCTGTAAGGAAATTATCACCCAGTTAAAGATAAATAGTTATCTTTCGAGAGTTGGTTCATCAGTGGTTAGTCCTTTCTTCATTCATGATCACTTTTTCGCTTTTTAATCTTATTTTAGTTAGCAATGTTTATGGTCCTATGCTTTGGAAAGTTTCATGTTGCAATGGCAATTCTAATTTATAAGTGACCCAAAGATCTTCAAAAATTGAAGATTTTTGCGCTCACTAAATAGGAAAGAGAAAACAGTGATGAAATGTATAAATGATTAATATTAATACTACAATTCAAATTTTCGATGAAAATTGAGAAAACTATTATCAGTGCCAATAACAATTAGATTTTGAAAAGACTTTAAGAAAATTTTGAAAAGAAATATAATTTTCAGCACGAATTAACATTATCACCTCAGATATATTCAAGAAAAGATGAATTCAATTTTTGCAATTCCTAATTCTGATCAATTTCGAATTCGTTCGAATTCGACTTCTTTTTTTTTCACTTTATTGACAAAAAGTTTGTTAAAAAAAAAATTTATGTTGATGCTAATGAAAAAAAAAATTATTTTTGATATTTATTAAATTCTAATAAATATCAATAAAAGCAAAATTTATTGACAGAGAAGCGCTTTGGAGGGCGATGAAATATGACGCTATTCCAGAGAAAACTATTCGACTCATAAGGCATTTTATCTGCGCACATTGGTAGAGATCTACGTTTATGGAAAACAAACTCGTTTGAAATAAGAACTGCCCACAAAGATCCTTTCTTCTACGGTATTCATACAATGAGATAGACTGTATAAGGGATATCGCTAACCAGTATTAAAGAGATATACAAATCAGTCCAGAGCATGGCCTTAAATACGCTGATAATCGTTTTTGCCTTTTATGATGAAATGCAAATAATATTAATGTGTTAACAACTGCAGCGAGAATGGGAATTAAGTTCAATGTAAATAAAATGAATAAAATGTAAAAAAAATTAAATAAACTAAAATAAATTAAATTAAATGTTTTACAAAATACTGGTAAAATACCTATTTTTATAAATTCATTGCCGGCTGAGTGCCAGGCTTTAAATATCATGGATCCACTCTAATCTCAAACGGACAAGCGAAAGACGAAATTATAACTGGAATAACGACAGCTAAAAATGCTTTTTTTCAGTTGACAAAGGCTTTTTTTCAGAAGCCTTTGCAGAAGCTTCGGTGGTCTTAAATTTATTACATGAAGAATAATTAGTGATTAATATCTTAAAATATTAAGACAATGGAAAATTAAATATATTTTCATAGCTGCAATTATTTGCTTAAAAATTATTATTAAAGTATTCATTGGCTAAAGCAGCATTGGATATGAGACAAAAATATAAATAAAAATATAATAAATTCTGCCGAAGTTTAGTGCTTTCTTGTACTTTATCGCCCATTTCTTTTTGACGAAACCTTTGTGGAACCGTCGCGAAATCACCATAAAAACTGAAGTCTCTATCTACATAGTCGCGATTCGTTCGATCTGGTTGCGAACGAGAGTGGAGAATATTAAGAAATTATCTGCCTTTAACTCATATCTAAGTTACATTATACGGGTTCGCTAAAATATCTCACATTATGTGGATAAAATCACATGATCACATCCATCTTCGTTCAAATACCACTTGCATTAACAATGCCATTACATATCACATATCCTTCACTGGTTACGGCACGTTCTTCGTCGCCCAGCATAGGAGTTTACACATATTTTATTACTTGCTGAACCCTGTGGTATCAAAAGCGAGGACCAATCAAGATTGGTAGACTGATAAGGTCAGGAAAAATTTTGAACATATAGATATGGACCAGTAATATGTGGACTTGGACGATAGAAAAAAGAGTGGCTTCTATCACTGTCAACGACGGTGCCGAGTCGAACGATTTAGAGATACCCTACTCTTACAGCCAGCAAAGACAGCCTAAGCAGTAATTATAGGAGTTGTTAGAAGAATGACAAAATCTGATTTATTGGAAACGAATTAGAAGTACCATCAAGTCCGCGAAGAAAAAGAATGGATTATAATGAAATAGTAAGTGTCAAATGCGCGCATTTGATGTCTGATTTGAAATAAATCAGCATGGGGAAAATTAGTGCATGAATGATAGATGGTTCACTTTTATGTTCATTTTGTCAAAAAAAGTTATTTTAAAAATTTATAGCAGTAAATAGCAAAATTTATAATAACAATAACTAATAATGTACGTTGTAAAGATACAAGAAAAGATAAATGCTTTTTGTGATCCATTGTTATTAGAAAAAGAAAAAGGCTCACGCTGAAGGATGTTCAGATAGTTAGTTATTTTTAAACCGTACATAGTTTTCCTTCCCGGTTATCATCATGTCGTCTCGCCCTTTGCAATTTTATTGCAGTTTTAGAATTTGCGAAGAGAGCAGAAATGCATTAAGATCCCATATTAAAGCATCTCTCTCACCAATAATTGCTGTTGCTGTCAGATTTGAAATTTTGTTTATATTTATTCTTAAAATATGTTATCGCAACATTTAAAGATTCACAAGATTATTACAAAGACCCGTTCAAAATGCAAAATCTCTGAAAGGGTCGAATTTACGAAACTAAATTATGTTGATACAATGCAACATGGCCATGCTCTCGAGCTGAGAGAATTGCTTTAATTTGAGGACGAATATCAGAAGAACGAATATTATTTGCATGCGGCCTTGGCCGTGGCTCTGTGGGATATCAGAATTGATTTATTAATTTAGAATCAGGCGAAAACCATCAACACCTTGTCCAAATATTATGTTACTTATATATATCGAAAATAGGTCCTTATTTTTCATTATGGCTCCAGAGCAGTAACTCAGCTGTAACCCTGGTTCGGACAATAAATTGTAGTAACCTTATAGTGTTTCGGATAATTCAGCGAGAAATGGGCGACTTTAATGCCAGAAAAGCGCTATTAGGTATGGAACAATGGTATGGAACTTTCTTAATGACCAGTCGCTCGCCTTAAAGATAAGTTTTGCAACATCTCGATCAGTGTTTATACTCCTATATTGGGACGGATGATCTGGATAAAGATAGATTCTATGCCCAGGTTAGCTCGCAAAATGCTCTCTCCCAAAAAATGGCATAATTTTGATAGTGGAACTGTAGTGCACGCGTAGAATTTGAGGATGCCCCACTATCTTTAGTGATCAGCATGACGTTGGAATTCGATGTGTTGATGGAGAATGTGCTGAGAAGCATGGTCTTTTCTATCACCAATATATATTGCTTTCAGCATTACAGAAGACATCTTATGTGGAAAACACCAGAAAATCGAATCAGACTGATCATATTTTAATCAATCATCAATGGAAAAATAGCCATACATAATGCGGAACCATAATTTTCGGACTGCGTTGTTCAAGGGCAATCAAAGCTGAGATATTTCAAGGTATTTAAGCATTTAGTAAAGATTTTTAGGTGCTTATTAATATTCTGGGAAGATTTTTCCTCTCTCCTGCAGATCCATGGCAGTGCGTCATAGCAAGATGAGTCTTAACCAGGTCGAATTAGATCTATGCCAGGGTATGGCTGAGCGGATTTTCATGCTGAGAAGAATATTGGAACATCCTTTTCGAAACCTATAGTTACGTGCTTTATCGATTTTGCCGCTCCTTTTGTTTCGATTGTTTCGTAAAGCGGCGCTCTAGCTAGTCATACGACATGGTTTTATCAGTATATGCCAGCGAAGATGTGCAGGTGTGTGTCAAGGCTGTGTTATCTCCTCTACAAGTTTAAATTATGCGATAGAATGGCTTATGGACCGCATGCTCGGACTTAAATTCAGATCATCATGAACCTAAAGTTTAAGCATCATGAAACTCTTATATGCGAGATGGTAATAAATTCACAGTTTATATCAATTCATAAACGGTCGAAGAAATGCCAGATTTTCAGAGTTTAAATGTTTCATACTCTCATACGCACGCTCTCATACCTAATGGCCAAACGAAGGAAGAAATGCCAGTTTGGACAACAACCAGAGGAAACTCCTCCTTGCCTCCTTCGCCTTCTGGCTCTCTCTGGAATCGCCGCGAAATGAAAACAAACTTTGCATTTACCTGGCTATAATAATAACAATACGCACAATCCTGATATAAGGCAATGAAACGAGAGTGGAGCCATGAAGCCAATTGCTTTTAACCATTCTTGACTGACATACATCCATACCGGCCAAGTGAATAGAGATACATCCGATTGGTGCACATCTCGCTACTTTTTAAATTCTGTGGTCAATGACGTCAAAAGCGTGGCGGGCCAATCGAGACCTTGAAACGACAAGGTCAATAGAAATTTTGAACGCATAGGAAATCCAGTGATACATGCGCTTATATGAGAGAGCGAAAAAAGAAGAGGTGTCAGTTAATTTCAGAACCGGCGCCAAGGGGGGAAGCTTGAAAATCATCTGACACTAATCACCAGTAGAGCGAGCCAAACCAGCAAGAGGCTAGATGATACGATTAAATGGCTGAGACGAAAAATTAAAAAGTGAGCGGGGAAGCTTTGACGACATTCCAGAAGCACGAGACGCCAGCTTGATTCGAACCTGAACCATCCTCGACACAATATTGGCAGCAATGTTGCTGACAACCTGAGCCAGCCACAATAAATTGATGTAAATAACAATAAATAAGCATCCAAAAAGACCCGCGTGTCATGTAGCCAACAAGGGAAACCGACTGACCTCAAGAAGTAACTTCCAGCTTTCCTGCTTTCACCGTTAGGTGAGAGGAGAGGAACACAGTATTCTCTCGCAATAAATATCAAGCTAAAGGCTTTGAATTTCGAATTTTGAAAGGTTGCGAAAGGGATTTTATCTTGAAATGAAGTTATGTTTACTGTAGTGTTTGCATGTTCTGCTAAGGTTGGGCACGGCTCTTCTTCGCGGGAGGCTGCATGCCGGCACCGCTTGTTCATTTGGCCAGTGATATGTTTCGGAATAAAGGAATGTCAGAATCTATGGTTTTTTTAAAATACGTTATCTGGTAAAAGTTAAATGGAGCTTTATCGACATAAGAACGCTTTCCGTTGGTATTCCATAGGACTTAACAAAAGCAAGTGAATATTATCTTGTTCAAATGGAAGAGTTTGGATCTTGTTTCTGACAGGAGTAAATGACATTGTCATTAAAGGTCCTAGTGACTCTGTAGACCCTCTTGTATTTGTCGCCAAGTGTACGACTACATAACAAGAATTTCTTACTAATATTCTAATTTCTTAAGAATATTAGAAAAAGAAATAGCTGCCTGTGAGGTTAGAAATGGTATGAACCAAACATTTCCATATTTCAGTCAACTAGAGACACATAAAGTCGTAAATCTTTGCGTTCCTTTGACTTCCCAGTTATCTGGTCTTCCCAGTTATCTGGTCCATAATGACAATTAGATGTTGCAGAGGAAATAGATTGTGTGCTACGATTGGAGAGAAGGAATTTTTACGGTTGAAAAAAAGGATAGGAGATGGTGAAAAAATAGGATAGGAGATGGTGAATAGTAAATTATTGGTGAATAGTTAGTGGGTTGAAATTGGAAAATATGCGGATCGTTTGTTGATAAAGTAAATTATTAGTGATTAGTGATAGAGGAGAACGGCGAAGAAAAGATTCAGAGAGTGTAAACGCAAAAGTGTAGGAAAGTGCTCTTACGACCTTGTCGGAATCCCGACCTCTGTGTGATGTTTTGTCGTGGACCGAATAACATAAGCTCAATCTTATTGAAAATAGTTTAAGGAAATATTCCCCTATAATCATCGTTCAAGCCATCAAATAATTATGGTTAATGATATGCGAAAGGAAGTCGTTGTAAAAGGAGCACTTCAACTCAAAAAAGGTGGAAAAATATTCAAAAGAAAGGTATATTTTATTGTACCTTTATTTTTCTTTCTCTTTGCCAATTTATTATTTTTAGTCAATTTCGTCAAGATAATCCTTTCTGAAATATATTCTTTTCGTCTGCCATTCCGTTATTTTGATAATATGGTTGTCCTCACCATTACTGGTTAAACTCGCTCCACTGGCTTGTCGCAATTGGGCAATATGCCAGTGAGATCCTTGGCGATAGAAATACAGGCCACCATTATCAGGATTTTTGTGCAGGGTTGCTCCTGCAGGGAATCGAACCTCAGCATTGGCGCTCCCAATTGAACAACAACCCAATGGGCCGTTCCATCCTCACTTGTATACAATTATTTATACATATAATCTGATTTTCATTAATTGATAATTGATAATGTTCAATTTTAATGCTTATTGTTACTTTTCTTTTTGTTCAATATAATTTGTTTTTTCAATTTGAAATTCATTTTTGCTAAAAGTCAATAATTTTTTTTAGAAGAAAGATAACGTGGATTTACGCAACATTGATTTAACCATTCATCGCGAAAATAACGCTTTGAATACTCATAAAACATCAGCTGAACTTGCTTTTGAGAAGCGCCAACAAGAAAATCAAGTACACTATTAGTTTCTGATTATATAAAAGCCTAAAATAAATATTTCTTATTTTTCCAAAATGTAAATTCGAAAAAAAATTATTACACATTAATATTAAATATTATAAAAATACATATTTTGTGAAAAAGGCCTTCATATAACCTTATAAAATTAATTTGCAGTTTGACCGTCTTATAAAAAAAGCTTCTGTTAGCCATCGTGAGAAAGTCGAGAAATTCAATGCACAAATGAGTGAATTAACAGAATTTAATGATATTCCGAAAGTTTCCTGGACGAAATAAATGGTGTTAGATAAGTCAGATCGTTTTATATATGTTCATATAATAAATCTTTGTATATTTTGTTTTGCTTTTTTTCATTTCTGGCACATTGCTTAGATTTCATTGTCAGATGTTATTCTTTTTTTATCTCCAGAATTTCGAAATTTTTCATCATTAACATTAGCATAAATATAATTAGCGAGAATTGTTCTTTGGCACTTTTATCTATCGAGACTATCATTTTCGGCTGTGAATTAATGGTTCATTAAATGCTTGAAGAAATAAATTATTTAATTTTTATTTATTTTATTGTCAAAAATATATATTCAAAAATATATATATTTTTTCAAAACATTGTTGTTTAAAGATAAAAATTGGGTTTCCAACTTGGATAATTCTTGAAAAATGAAATGTTCGTTGCATCGTATTTAATATTTTGTTCAAATTTTCAAATTTCTGTTACATTTTATGCTGTATTTAATTTGGTGATTTTCATAAAATCACCAAACTTAGCACTGTAAGTTTTGCAAGTTTTGCCAAGTTACATTTTGATTATCGTAGAGAATGGGCTCAAATTCATGCTTAATATATAATATAAATTATTTCATTTTAAAATCTTCACGCGACTGATTAAGCGACGTGGTGATCGGTATCTAATGAAATGCCATGTGTGTTAAATCGAGGTGGATCATCTATCAATTCGAAAGATATTGCGGTTCCTTCCTATACCTATAATGAATGGAAAAGGTTTTGTTTTCTTTGATGGTTTTCAGTAGCATTGGTAGGATTTTACTTTTAATATAAATAATTATCAAAAAAATAGTCCTTTTGAATGCTCCAATTTTCGTTTTTGTGTTTATGTATAGAATGAATATTTTGTTTTAAATTTATTTTTTTAGGCTTCGTTCACTTTGTCGAGTGGTGCAAGAAACGCAGCAGATTTTATCTATGCAACATAATAGAATACAAATGGTGTTGGAAGAAGAATCTTCTTATCGAGATTTTGTATTGATATTTTTTAATCCTCTCTCTATAAATTTATATAAATTTTCTATAAATTTGGCACTTTGTTTATTATTGATTATTGATGTATTTGTATTTGGTGTGATAGTAAAGGAATATTATGGCCGAGTAGGATTTTATTTCAATCATGAGTCACCGTCCTTTAGTAATTGCCGAGCATTCAGCTATAATTTTTGCGAAAGGTTTCAGAAATCGGCGGATCAGACAAATCAAAAGAATTTCAGAGAAAGGGGGGAGAAATATAACTTTAATGGTGAACATTTACTGAAAGAATAAAATATTTAATAATTAATTCTTTGGTCATGATGCGTTTGATTTCAGGCTGCTCAACTTCAAGAAGAAGCAATTGAGGGACGTGCGATAAAAGCGCAGATTGATCGCGCAAAGTGTCGGATCCTAGCGACACGTATGAAATTCTTTAAACTTTTGGCTGATATGGATAAAAAAGGTATAATTATAATATTGTAAATTTTTTTATTTATAAATTTTTTTGGTCTTTTCAGTAATCATTATCTGTTGATTCAGTTGACAGCTTTATTCATTCTCTGTTTATTTGACTTTGTGTTTTAATTTTTGTTTTAAGTGCTTGATGATAAGTTTTCCTTTCAGAGGCAGAAATTCTTCAGAAATTCGATGATATAAACACTCTTGAAAATGATTTAACCAAGAAAAGAAAGTTAATTTCATCTTCAAAGTTAGTTTTTCAGGTTAATTTTCTGCAATGAAAATTTTTCGAGATAGCCATTTTGTTGTTATGTTGGTTTTTGCTTTTTGCTAGGATTAAAATTTTGTCGTCAATAAATCAATTAAGAAGACAATATTTAAAAATATAAATATTTTTAATACTATTTTTCACCACTGAAACTTTCAGTACTTCAGGATAAAGTTGGCTGAATTGGAAGAGAGATTAAAAAACCGCAGACGTAAAATGGTACAAGATCTTCGACAGATATACGCAATTAAAATCAATGATAGACCGGAAAGGCGTTTCAGTTCATTATATTGTTTTTGCAATCCTGAGGCGTTTATTGCTGGACTTCATTTACCTAATATTATTGGCTTACTGGGTAGGTCTCATATCTATTCTCATTTTTAAAATATATTCATATTTAAGGGATTGTATTTCAATAATTTCTTTTTAAGGGCATCCAGAAGTTGAAGTTGCTGCTGCTGCAGGCCATATCAGCCATATGCTGAATATTTTATCATTTATTTTAAATATTCCTCTTCGTTTTTTGATTAACTTCAGAGTGTCAAGGTCTACTATAATTGATAATTATACCTCAGAAATGTAAGAGTTCGAATCGCTTTTTTATTTTTTAATTTTTTAATTTTTTATGCATTATCATTATTCCTCAAAAAAAGAATAAATCAAATTCTTTAAACAAATGAAGATTTTTGGAATATTTTATACAATCTGATTTTTCTAAAATATGAAATCTAAAATACTTTTAATCCAGCGTGATTAAATTTGCAAAAACTGTGGAACAAGTATTTTAATTACTTAAAAATATAGATATCCTTTATATTCACTGTCAAGTGATTTTGATGGTATGCAAGATGGATTAAATCTTCTGGCTAGGAATATAATGGCGCTTAGACATTCTCTTGGTTTTTCCACATCCAGGCATCTAAATCATACACTTTTCAATTTACATTCTTTATTGGTCGAATTAGCGGATGAAAGGTTTTTTTTTTGTTTTTGTGATAAATTATTAATTAAACGATTAATTATTATCGCATGATCGGATCCACCTTCATTCAAACACCACCTGTATTTATCATATTATCGTAGACCGTCGCCTTCGGTGATTAAGGCACGTTCACTGTCGTCCACCACAGAAGTTGACACATATTTCATTATTTCTGAACCAAGATCCGCATAAAACTGACAACTCGCAGAAAACAGCACCCCCAAAGATCCTTAAACTATCTCAAACTAAAAAATTCGGGGACAATGAGCGCAAACCGAATTATTGAAGCATCTCAGTGAATTGAATTGAAAAAATTTTTGTTGAACGGTCGTTTCAAAAAAATACTCTCGATTTATTTTTGTGAATTTATTTTCATTTCTGATCACAATTCAGCTAAATCCTCTTAAACTTTTAATTTTTTTTTTAACCAAACAACGATTATAATTAAAACAAAATAAATTAAAATTAAATCAATTAAATTAAATCAAATCAGTTAAATTGTATAAATAATATATATATTTCATTTATATACATAGTCATATAAATATATATTTTTTCAAATTGCATTGTCCATTTTATTACTTTCTTCAAATTTAATTTTTTTTTTGTTTTTGGCAGGAGTAAACCTGCTATTATGTCAAAAATCCGGTGGCTGCTGGGGACCCACCTGTAACTCTATCCCCAAATGACTCTATGGTGAAAGGGTTAGATACATTTGATACGTCTCCCGACGCGCATGATACTTCGAGCCCGGTGGTACATGCGATAAGTTTACAATTCGGGCTTAAAGCGATCCCAAGGATGACAAATAAAATGTGCTCTCAAGCCAAGGTAATTGCTCGAAACCTATCAAGAGGAACAGCCCTCTGCACGCGGGGCGAGATATTAGCCGTATCAGCGTGGAACGTCAGAACTTTTGGACTTATGGACGTTGCAAGCCAAGCAATCACTGTCCACACCCTGTCTAAGTATCGTGTGGATATCGCTCGTTTGTCAGAGATCCGTGTTCCTCACTTTGGGTTTCAAGCAATTATTAATCCTGGTTCAGAACAGAGATATTTGCTATATCACTGTGTTGCTTCGAATAACTCGGGACGAAATGGCGTAGCGATTATCATGTCTGAAAAGGCCCATTCCGCTTTGATTGAATGGAAACCGATAAACGACCGTATGGTCTATGCCCTTTTTAAGGGTAAGTTCTGCAATATCTCGATCATCAGTGTCTATGCTCCAACTCTGTCAGCAGATGACCATGATAAAGCAGTTGCGGAACTGCAACTGCTAACAAAGTCTCTACCAAAACATGACATGATCATAATCGGGGGAGACTGGAATGCTCGCGTAGGTCATAATGCAACTGCGATGACCTCAACAATTGGCAAATATGGCATCGGAGACCGGTGTACCAATGGGGAACGTCTTCGTTATGCTGAAGAGCATGAACTTTTTGTTACTAATACTTGCTTCCGGCATCATAGAAAACATCTAGTCACGTGGAACTCCCCGGACAATCCAACACTTCAACCAGATTGATTATATTTTAGTCTGTCGCCGTTGGAAGAGTTCCGTACTAGATAGTTGTTCCTATCGCAGAGTTGAAAGGGGCAATCTTCATGGATCTGACCATGTTATAGTTCGAGCCAGGATCCGCATAAAATTGACAACTCGCAAAAAACATCATCACCCAAGTTCCTTCAACTATCTCAAACTAAAAAATTCGGGGACAGTGAGTGAATTATTGAAGCATCTCAATGATACAAATATCAATGATTTTTCTGGAGCGGCAAATAAATACTGATCGAAACTAAAGGAATTTCTCCAAAAATCAACCACTTCCACGCTAGGGCATACTAGTAGGAAGTAGTGTATCGAAGTTGTGTATTGGAAGCAACTGTCCAAAAGTCGGAAAAAGCTGCCAAAGCACGAATGTCAGGTCTGACTATCGAGTGCTTCGATGATTTGCAACGAAAGTAGCAAGGCGGAATAAAAATTTCTATTGGAGTGACATGGCCTCACGAATGGAGTCGGCGGCTCGATTAGGCGACAGTAGGAAACTATGCTGCCTTCTTCATAAAGCAATTATGACTCTGGGAACGATCAGTGAAATGGTAAGAGACAGCAGTGGCGTACTAATTAAAAGTATTAAGGATCGCCTCATAAGAATTCTTTGATGCCAAACTTAACCAAGGAGCGCATCTGTTGCTCCTGATGTTACGTTCGCTGAGCCATATGCTTGCCCACGAAAGAAGAAGAAATAATGTCTATTATCCATAAGCTTAAGGCCAATAAGACGCCGTAAGAAGATGGTCTTCTGGCTGAATTCTTTAAATGTTGTTCATCGTCCTTCATAACGCATCTTCAACAAATGCGCTCGCTGGTTTGGAAAAAGGAAATATCACCATATGACTGAAGTAAAGCAATTCTACTCCCAGTTTTGAAGAAAGATGACAGGACAGGACGTATTGCGACAATTATCGAATAATCAGCCTGCTAGATGTTTCAAAAAATGTTTTTGCTTCCCTTTTACTCAACAGACTTATGGAAGTACGACATAGCAAGATGCGTCCTAATCAAGCTGGATTCGGATCGGGGCGCGGTTATACTGACCAGATATTCATGTTTAAAAGGATGTTGGAACATCGTTTCAGATATTTGCAACCCATTGACACGTGTTTCATCGATTTTGCGGCTGCCTTTGATACAGTCGATAGAGCGGTGCTTTGGAAGATGTTGGAATGCGATGGTGTTCCAGATAAGATCATTTGACTCATAAAGGCATTTTATGAGCTCACCTCTGGGCAGGTCTATATATATGGGGGACTGACAAACTCCTTTAAAAAAAGAACTGGAATCCGATAAGTTTGTCAAATTTGTGTCCATTCCTCTAAGTATTCAACTATTCTATATTATTATATATTATATAAATTTAATATCATAAATATTATATCATATTATATTATATTGTATTATATATTATATTATATTACATTATATTATATTATATTATATATTATATTATATTATATATTATATTATATTATATATTATATTTTATATATTATTATATTATATTACATCATATATTATTTTTTTGCTATTAAAATTTGTAATTTTGAACGACACTAAAATATAATTTTTCTTATCCAGAAGTCCATCTAACCAATCGATTTTTTTATATTTCATATTTTTATATTTTTGATTTGCGTTAAATTTCCATCTTTTGATTTTAAGAAATATTGTTGTATCTAAAAATCTTCGAAAAACTGCTCTAGCCTCTGGTTCTCATTCTACTATTTACTGCGCAATTTTGGATAAAAATTCAACCTCCGTGCCTTATTCCAAAGAAGATATTAACCTGATAAAAGAGATGGATGAAAGATCTCTAAAAGCTTTTGAAACACTTGGAACGCATATAAAAAGGTTTGCCTGTGTTTTAGATAATTCTAGCTGCTTTCTTGGTTCAGAGTTTCCGGGATATCAGTGAAGAAACTTTTTATGAACAAAAAGAAACTTTCTATCATTAGATTCATTCACCATTTATTTAGGCGTTCAAGTTTGGGTTCGATGGCTTCACAGCTGGAACATTCAACGATTGTATCAGTGAAATCGTGTAATACGGCGAAAATTTATGAAGAGAAAACAGACCATGGCTTTGTTTTTCCCGTCGTCGTTCCAAATATTAATTTGTTTAGTTAGATTTTCGATGAAATAAATTTAAGTTCACTGGAATTTGAAGTTACGAAGGTAAATGGAAGGTTTTATTTTAGATTTTGGCAAATTTTTTTTGAATTATTAGAAAAAGAGGCTCAATCTAAAGGAGGCTAAAAGAGACAGGTGTAATGAAATAATAAATAGTTTCGAAAGCTATAAAGCTATAGGAAATTTTGATGATTTATCCGCAGCAATATTATGTTAATTTATTGATTTCTCCATTATTTTTCCACTTAATTAGTAGCTGTTATTAAGTTTTCACTAAATTAAATGTTTATTAAAATATAAATTCTGATTATTTTTTGCTAGTAACATTTTTTATCTTAAATTATATATAATTATTTGCATTTTTCTTAATTAATTCCTCTTTCTTGTTCAGTTTCTGTCTTAAATTACATAGATTTTGGATTGGATTTTGGACTTTGATAATTTCTGGTTCTTTTTATTTGTTTTTTTATAATAATATGAATCGATTATAAATATATTTATGAATATATTTTAATAGCTGATTTTCATTTTTACTATTGGAAAATCCAAAGTATTTTTTGGCTTGTAGGGATTATGAAACTATTCGGAATATTGTTGATCCTCATAAATTGAAAATCTATCGATTTTTTCGTGGTTCTGTTATTTTATAAAATTGTTGGATTATAATGCCTTGTACTCTGTTATAAATCTGTAAAAGTTATTATCCCCTTGCCAAAGTTGTATGGATACTTTTAAAGTGATAGATGATAGTATGAAAGTTAGTTTTTTATGTGAGTTTGTAGTGTTTGATGTATGAAGGCGATATAAAAAACAGTAAAAATGAAAACTACGTCGAATTCGGCGACTGTCAATTGGATGCGAGCAGTTCAAGTTGTGATCGTGTTGAAGATGAGAGTGATGTTGCAAATGGTACCGTAATCGTGGAACCAAGGTTCAAATATTCAAGAATACTCAATAATGCGCCTATGGTTTGTTTTAGTGGTTGAATTTTTATGTCCTCTGCAATGAATCTCATTTAAAAATAAATCTAAGCTTATCTGTGTTTCTTTCATTGATGGGTTTCGTTCGCTCCTATGTTAATGGTCGGCTGGAGCGAATCCAATCAGAAATGATGAATGCTGACCATTAACTAACTAATTACATACTTTATTATAAATGCAAAATTATTTTTAGATACTTGCAAAAGATGCTGCTAGTTGCATTGCAGTTCATGATAAATTCATTGCAATTGGTACTCATTCTGGTTATATATATATCATGGATCATCTTGGCAACTTACACCCCGAAAGTGTTCGTATTTTCATATCTTATTTTCTTTATGGTCTATTTGCATTTAATCATGCTTGTGAATGAAAAAACAATAATCCTAATCGGAAAAATTTTAAAATGGGAAATATTAATTAGATAAGATTTGTTACCGGTTTCATTGCCATTATCTTTCCATGCTTGAAGTCCGATCCACAGCGAGGAATTGTTGCTTCCCCTATATTATATCGCTTTTTTCTACTTTTTTTGCTATCAGTGAGCTTGTTCTTTGTCACTATTTTTTCCGGAATTTTTCTTTGATTTCTTTTTATCCCTGTCTTTTCTTATTTCGTATTATAATTTTAGCTATTTCATCTTTATCGGGTTTTTTCAAATTATTATCGAGCTAATTTTCCTTATATTTAAATTTTCTACTTTATTTCTATTCCATTTTCTAATTCTACCTACGTGAAATCAGTTGCAAAGTTAGCTTCTTTTAGACGGTTCGTCATCACGTTGGTTCTGTAGTCAAAATATCAATTGAAAAATCTGGTGGTTACTTTGTGAGCTGCGGTCAAGATGCCAGAATTAGTATATATGGAATCGGTTGCAGTGATTACACACAAGTTCATTGTTTAATCACCATTTACTTTTACTTATTCAAAGCGATTGCATCATAATTTGATAATACAAAGATTCTTAATAAATGTTTGGAAAATTATAAAATTAAAATTCATTTATTTCAATTCATTTTTTAGAATTTTGGATTATTATTTCAGATTATTGAGCTCAGATATGCTGCTCGATCAGTGTCAGTTTCACCTGACTTTAGCAAACGAAATTCTATCCAAATGTTTGTTAGTGCAGAAAGAAATCTTCAGTTACATGAACGGAGATTTTTAAAAACTTACAAATCTACTGTTAGTTTTCTCTTTAACATGGACATTCACAGTTTTTTTGAAAAGTTTTTTCTAAAAACAGTTGGTATTTTCTAAAAGTACTTTTTTCTCTATCTTAATAACTAAGTACAAATACAATTATTTTTTTTCTTTATTCTGAATGAATAAAGCTTCTTTGCTCCAAGGACAAAAAATAATCGTTTTTATATCATATTTTCTTTATTAATTTCTATTTTTTACTAATCTTCATTTTGTTGTTCAAGGATCTGAAAATAATGATTTTACTATTTTAGATATTGTTTCAAGGACTAATTCGAGATGGAATTATAATGCAAACATCTTGGCATGATTCCTTCATAGCATTTACAAATAACACCGGTACAAGAATTTATGATAGGTTTGTAATTCAGGTTTTAATTTTCCGATTCTTTTTATCCGATGTAGTGAATGGTCCTCACCATTACCTGGTTTTAATGGCAGATTCACTCACGTTATAAAGAACGTAATATTTGAACTCATTAAAAATATCATATTACTCAGCTGCCTTCAAATAAATGATGAATTCCAGGAGTCTCGAAAGAATTGTAGCATTAATTCAGCCAGCTAGGAAAGTTCCTCCTTTTGATGTTTCACGAGCAAGGCCTTCTCACTGTTGGCTTGATAATATTACTCTAGCTGTAGGTTGGCTGAATAATATATCAATTTGTTCACTTGTGGATTGTATTAATCAACCTGTACGTTAAATTTTTTATCTTTGTTAACAGGTTTATATAGTATTTTTATAATACCTACTTAATTGTTCAAATAAAATGCTATAAATGAAAAAAATGAGTGTATGAATTTTTCCTTAGCATCATTATTGGGTGATCTTTTTCGTTCTTTTCCTCAAAATGAATTTATTTTTAAACTCAGTTAAAGTTAAAGTTGTAAATGGATCGAAATTCATTCTTGATTCATAATATTGCTGCAGATTATTTACGATTTTTTTTATTCGTTGTTTAAGTCCAGCTGTGGTTTAATGCGCAAAGTCGAAATGCGCAATATTTGGGAATTGGATTTGCTAATTGCAGATATTTCTTATTCTCCATCTATGAATTCAACAAATTGGAAGGAAATTGTTGTATTTGGTACTAAAACTAAGCAGGTATAAGAATAAGAATAAGATTCTTATTCTTATTTTTGATTTAAAGCTTAGGAATCGTTTTAAATTGTGATGAAGATTTATTTTGCTTTGAAATTTTCTTTGAAATTTATGATTCATTCCTGTTATCTCCATTGAATCCATATGATGATCCATTCATGCTAAGAATTATGTCTTTAAACTTTTTCTAGGAGTCGTTTCAGAATAATGCAAATATCAAAGAAGCAGAGGTACAATTCGTCTCACTCGAACCTGAAGTTTTAGAATCATTTGTTATAATCACCGATGATCGTCTCGATATGCATATCGATACTGCCCAAGATATCTATCATTTACATATGTGTGCCTTACCCGATGAATCGTTGTATTTTATGTTAAGTACAAAGGATTTTATTATGGTTTGTTTTAAATGTCAGAAAAATACTAAATTGTTCGCCGTTATTATTTTATTATCTGTTTTATCTATTTTTTTTAGGCTCAACTTTGTTCTGCAGATGATCGTGTTCGTTGGTATCTTGAAAACAGTTTGCTTCGAGAAGCTATGGAATATGCAAATCAATATGTATTCCAGTTAAAAGATTTGGATCCTTTAGATATTGGCAAACAATATATCGGATCATTGATTGAGAAAAAACGTTTTGCTGAAGCTGCATCTAATTTAAAAATAGTAAATATCGTAGTTTAATCAAGTGGCAAAAATTTTGCATTGCATGGACCTTTTGCTTTGATTTTCCATTAGCGGTTACCATCCAATATATTTCATCCATTTCATGTTTATTGAAAAAATTTTATGAACCATAATAGTTTTTTCAAGTTAATAAGATGGTAATATGTTAATATTTCTAATTTTTTCAGGTATGTGGTAAACACAAAGATCTTTGGGAATATTATGTTAATGAATTTGAGCAAAATAATGTATTGCTGCAAATAGCCCGATATCTTCCTGTTAGAGATCCACAGCTGGAACCTGAATGTTATCAGAGTGTTTTAATTGCTGCCCTTTACAACCACCCATTATTATTTTACAAGTTAGTGAAGTCCTGGAGTCCTGATATCTACAGAGCGGGTAAAATTGTATTTTATTTCGTTTTTTTCTTTATTTTTTATAACTTAAGTTAGTCGCATCGCATTTGTAGCTTAAATGGTACTTTTGGTTTTCTTTTAATTCTTTTAATTTTTTAATTCTTTTTTTTGATAATTTTTTTGATAATTGATAATTTCCCAGGCAAAATTTTTTATTTTAGGTGCAATAATAGAATTAGCAATAAGACGTGTTATACATGAAGAACAAGCAAAAAATCTTTCGGAGGAAGATATAATAACCATTTACCGATCATTGGCAAGACTTCATTTACATGAACGCAAATATGAGAAAGCCCTAATATTGTATATTAATTTGCGTGATAAAAGCGTTTTTCACGTGATTGAAAAGTACAATCTTTTTGACATGGTAATTTTTCAAATGCTTTAATTAGAATTTAAATGTTGGTAATTTTGAATTTGGTCTGATTAATATTAACAAGAATTTAATAGATCTCTTCTAATGAATTGATATTGTCAAATGATATCAATTCAAGCGTATAAAATATAATTTAAATTTTCTCGTTTTGCAGGTGAAGAGTAATATTTCGAAATTGATGGCACTGGATGCAGATTTAACGATTCGTTTGTTGATTGAAAACGCTGGTAGCCTTCCTACAGCAACAGTTCTTAGCCAGATTTCAAAATATCCAAAATTGCAGGTTAAATATATATCGATCGTTTATGCATGGAATTTTTCTTCTTGAACTTATGCATAATTTTCTAAATATCTTAAAAAGAAATATAAGAAATTTCTTATATGAAAGCTTCACGAATAATAATAGTTATTCTTTTTATTTCAGATGGCTTATTTAAATCGGCTTTTCGAAAGGAATCAAGGTGAAGAATTTGCAGATCTTGCGATTCGTTTATATGCAGAATATGATCATAAACGTTTAATGAATTTTCTGCGCAAAAATGAATCTTTTGACATTGCAAAAGCAATGGAGATATGTGAGCGCAAGAAATATACAGATGAGGTACTTTTGTTTTTATTTTATTTTTTATGTAGATGATTATCTTTCAACAATCGTTTTATAGTTGATTTTTTTACTTGGTCGTAGTGGCGACAGATTAAAAGCGTTAAATTTGCTTGTGCATAAACTTGATCGAATGGAATCCGCTATTGCTTTTTGCCGTGAAAATGATGATGCAGATCTATGGAATGCGCTTATCGATGAAGCGACCACAAATTCTCGGCATATCACTCAACTTTTGAATGCAGCTGGTAATTATATAGATCCGCTAAGTGTTATTCAAAAGGTGATTGTTAAAAAATTTAAATTTTCAAAACTTCTTTATAATTTTCTTTTTTTTCGCACTTATCATAATGCTGAATTTAACTGGTACTAAGTTTTTAAATGAGATATAAATGATATGTTGAATTTTGTGGTATTAATTCAACACTGCTGGATTTAATACTTTAGATTCCATCGCAGATGTCTATTCCTAATTTGCAAAATTTGTTGATAAAAATTTTGCGCGACTATGAATCGCAAGTTCAAATGCAGCAAGAATGTTTATCTGCAACGATAGCAGATTCTGATTCTCTTTTGTTGAAACATTTAATCATTTGTGCGAGCCCATCAGAAATCAGCGAGACTTCTTTGTGCAGTGTATGCAAGTATGATTTTATTGGCATTACGATATTCAATAAAAATTTTATTGTGAATCAGTTTTGTTTCGTATTTTGCATGAATTTGAATATTTAGTAATTGTTTCATTTCTTTCCAACCATTTCTGTTTAAATCGGTAAGAGTCCATTAGAAATAATAACCAGAAAACCATGTTTCTTATTTTTTGAATTCTGAATTCTGATTTTCTTCTGATTTTTTCTATGATTATTTTATTTAATTTCTCATTTTATTTTTTTATTTAATTTTTCGAATTTTTTTTCAGAAGCAATATTATTACAAACGATTCATCAAGTCGGAAAGTTTCAGATGATATACTCGTTTTTGCTTGCAGTCATCTTTTTCATAAAAAATGCTTGGATCAATCCGAGCTTCAGGCAGAATGTTGGAGGAAAAGTGTCGAAGATGGTTTTTGCTTATTGTGCTGTGATCGAAACGAAAAAAAAGATTAAATTATTTTTTTACATAAATACACTAATATTTAACATAAATAAATTATCAAAAATTCCACATGATTATTTTATTTATTGGAATGATTTTATATCCCTTAACTTTGTCATATAGTAAATTATTCCATTTTAACCTGTTGTTCCAGTAGTATGCTGCAAAAACGAGATTCTTTTCACATAGGAAAAACAGAAACTTTTGGTTTACTGCCTAATGCTCCTGTTTTTTTAACTCTTTTTTCCTTGGCCACGTTATTAAAAATTTTGTAAGATGTCAAAAAAGATAATTTTGTTGTTTTTCATAAGTATATGATCGATAAATAATTATGAAATGGGGTATCTTGGAAATGTGCCGAATTGGGTTTGCAATCTTAGGCGCGTTTCAATAATTTTTCGTTAGTTTTCCATTCCAAATAACACTATAAAAGTGAATCGTTCAATATGAAGGTACGTTATCAAATCCAGGTCTGCAATACATGAATTCGGCCTTTTTTTGAGGTACTTCTAACTCGTTATATGATGGCTGTTTGGGTAAACCAGCTATCTCCGAAATATCATGTAAAGAAATTGATTGACGTTTCGGTTTTGCTATAATGATCTCTTCAGTGGAGTCCGGTATGAAAGATCTGAAATACATTATAAGAAGATCTACGAATTCATTAGATCTTGATATATAATCACCGTAGGATTTCCGTAGAGTTTTGTTTCTGAAGTTGAGCAAGTTTTCATACGTATTGCAGAAATTATCACTGTAAATGCCATTCAATTTTCTGCTAGAGACTTTAAAATATTTTAAAAATTCTAAAGGGCTGTTTAATTCTACTCGTTCTATTCTTATTAGCGTAAATATGAAAATGCCATTATAATTTTTTCACTTTGATTTATAAATGAAAATTCACGGTGAATGCAAGAAATCGGAATTTCTTTTTTCAAAATTTTACGAAATAAGATTTAAATTTTCAATGATCATCTTAATTGCTAACGAATTTTTGCGAATATTTTCTAAATAACGAAAGCTAATATTTGCTTTGCTGTGAAAATAAAAATCGAGGAAATTTTATCAAACTAGACGAAGAAAAAAAGAATGGAAAAAAGCCGGATTTGACGGAAAAAACCGGTTCGAATTTTGCATTCGGAATCTTGTTGATTAATGGCTGCGGTTGAAATAATAAAAATGATCCAGAGCATAAGGTTTTCAAAGAAAATTAGTCAACAATGTTATATGAAGCAATACGATCTGTTTGAGACCTGTAATACGCGATTTGTGCTCTTTGTGGTTGTTCTGGAAATGGTTCCAAAATTTCTGGTAGTAAAGGTGGAGATATTTCGCTTTCGTTATGTTCAGCAATCTTATTCGGTTTTGCTGCTTTCAATACCTGTTCTTCCATACGGGACTCTTTCTCTAAAAATTTCCTCTAAAAATTCTATTGCTGATAGACATAATTGAAAATCTCCTTATATGGAAAAGTGAGCCAATTCAACACATCTGTAGTGGGATAATATATCTGAGGGGCAATTCTTATTCGATGAATTTGGAGATGTCAAGCAATAATATAAGAAAAAACGAACTGGACGAATGTTTCTCTTTTTTTCTGGAAATCTTACAGCTATAGAAATTATTAACTAGATGATAGGATAGCCGAGTGGCTGTTTCTCAATTATGAACAACACTTCGGATTCTGCTTCCGGCAAATAAAAAATCCAAAATCCAATTATTTCTGGCTCTAATTCTCTTATCAAAAATGATCCTACTAAGGGTCAGTGGAAAGAGCCCAATCACGAATGGGAAACAGCCACAAATGGTGAACCTCTTACTCTACCTTAGCCTTATGCATTAAATAAAATATATTTATTTTTTTTTTTAGTATTTTCATCACCCTTTAAAAAATTAGTTTTAATTATATTCTGTGGATTGTTCGAGAATAAAACGTCTTTTATGATATTCCTTTTTCAAAAAAAAGCCGCTTGAAGAGAATTCTGTGAAGATACTGTAAGAAGAAAAGTATTAGAATTCAGTTGGATCATTACTTTTAGATAACAGGTCCAAATCCAGATCCAAAAGCTAATGGAAATCAAGATGGATTTTTTAATTCTATTCTCTTCTTTTTCTAAGAATTTATATTCCTTGGAAATTAAAAGCTGATTTTACTTTTACTTAATAAAAATATTTGATCAATAAAAAAAAATTGAGTAATTGGACTAAATTTTAGTTGAAACATCATCATCAGTTTCATTCAGTTAGAAAGTTACATCAGTTTTTTGAGAATCCAATTTGGAAATTCAAGATTGCCCACATAAGTTTTGGAGACCTTCTAGCCTGTTAATGAATGATGGAATTAATCTCTTAAATATAGCTTTCAACCAAAACGAATCGAATTATTGGATCAACTGGGATTCTTCTTATTGCTTTCATCACTTTTTAAAAGATTAATTTTGATTTTATCTCTCTGCATTGTTTGAGAATAATAAACCTTCTTTGATATTCCTTCTTCAGAATACATCTAATACAGTTCAATAATTATAATTGTAAGAGAAAAATGCTTACTTTATTATTGTTTAATAGCCAATTAATGCAAAGATTAGATAATTAGTGAGGTCATTTGAGGCTAAAAGATAAAATTATGATAAGATAAAATTCAAAAAGTTGAAGAAATCGTAAAAAAATAAAAAACTGAATAATAATATAATGAATTTGGTATTTTGTTGAAATACATCCTTGTATATTTGTGTCAGTTTACAAATATTTTATGCACAAGAAATGGATCCAGGCACACTAGAAAGAAAACCTATTTGGCAATTTCTTGCGAATTTTTAGAGTCCGTTTCCGACTCGGTTTTATCCTCCTCAATCTCATACTTTTCTTCAAATTTTTCTTCAAAAATTTCTCGGAAATATCCATGTGGTGCACTCTTAAAACTTGAATTCACATTCATATTATTGCGTGCATTATTCATTTTAATAGTATCGTTCATTTCCGGCGTCTTTTCCATAGGAATAATCATATTAGTGCGATAACTTCCAGCTTTATCATAAACATTATCATCAGTGTTTCGTTGTCGAATATTTTTAGGAGTATAAATGGGATTCTTATAAACATGCGCTTTATCTCCTTGATTATTATAAAGATCATCTGCTGGAGTGCTATAAGCATTTTCCATCAATCGATCTTCAGGTGAGAGTGCTTCTTGAGATTCATCCTGTTTATATGATCGATACGCTCCAATGCCTGTCCCACGTATATCTTGACGATTCAACGGCACTGAAAAATAGACTAATGGAAGAAAGAAACATGCATATCAAGATATCTATAAGGAAATCATGCTTATATTATATGATAAATGTCGTTCCAAAGTCTTCTCATCTATTGATTTTACCTTTTTTATTAAGCATAGTCATCTGATTTTATATTGCCACACTTTTTTCTTCATGCATTAATTTAATTAGATGTAAAGAAGTGAGATAAAGTAAAACAGATATGCAAGTATATATAAAAAACGAGCAGCAATGATAGTCTTGCTCACCAACTATTTATTATTTAGTAATTCTTCCTGTTCTTATCAGTTAAAGCAACCATAAATGAAAAAACAGAATAACAAAAAAAGGGCAGAAAAAAGAATATAAATAAATGCGGAAGAATAGTTTGCAAGTTATAAAAGAAATAAATGCATTCATTGCTAACCGAAAAATTCTATAAAAAAAAAAACCAATTTGTTGATAATTTTCACCCATCAATTTAAACTTCGACTCCCCTCCCCCCTCCTCCTCCGAACGACCTGCGCTGCCTGTTATGAATTTTCTTTAATAGGAGTAGCAGGAGCAGAAAATCATTTTTTAAATATATTTTTCGAAACAAATGTTTATCTTTGATATTTTTTTACTTATACTTTATCATAATCTTAATGCCTTTACTTTAAAGTATTTATTTTTGATTTTTCATCGATAATTTCGTTTTAAAAGAATTCATGCAGCTAGTTTTTTGGAGAACGTTTACCTTGTTCCATTATTTGATAAAAAGGAAAGAAATTCAACCAGATGAAGAAATGTGGAAGGCGCGGAGTGTACTACCATAAAAAGTCATTACTGCGTAAACGCAACCTCGTCTATCGCATTGTTTTCTAGCACCATATCAGTTATCACAATGACTATAAAATCAACCTAATATATGTTCAACGTCTTCAATAATTTATTCTTAAAATTAATTGTTTTAACATAAATAACAGGTATCTTAGCAAAACCTTATGTTTTGTGTTAAATAAATATTTCTATTTTTTTATTGCAGCATATCGCAGATTTAATCCAACATTCCAGGATATCACAGCTTAAAAAACAATTGGTTCATTTATAAATTCAGGAATTTCGAAAAGCATATATTTATAGGCCCTCAGTTCCTTTGGCATGATGTACTGCTGGATTTAGCTAGGATACGCCAAGTTACAGTTTTCACCCAAATCAATTCTTTTGGAATACACGACAGAAAATGCCATTGTATCTATTCATTTCTTTTTCGTCTTTTCTTAAGATCTTTTCTAGAAGTTATCAAATTTATATTTTATAATAAATAAATTTTGGCAGACTTTTACATGACTCCTCATTAAAATAATAGCAAAATAAATTAAATAAATGAAAATAAATACACGATACTGTTCATTCTTAATCGAGTAATGCCACCGTATTATCCCATATAGAGTCTCTTACAAATCAGTTTCCTAATAATCAGTGAAATTTACCAAAGAGGAAGTAATTACTGTTATTACTGTTAAGAGAAAGAAATGATGTTCGCCTCTAAGATGTCACAAATCTATGAATAGAGTTTCAATTATAAGATTTCCTATATGATGCAATTGTAAGCAAGATATTGCCAACAAAAAGTGAACTGCAGATGCTCAACTATATAGCCACACGCAGTCAAGGATTTATTTCCTACATAAAAAAAAATTATCAAAAAAATTTAGAATAAATTTCAATTTCTATTTTATGCAGAAATGAAATTATTTTTTTTCAAGAGTTAGCAAAACATGCGTAAATATATGTTTCAAATTGCCTGAATTGACGGTATTTAACTTGAAACATTTATGTTAATAGTTATGTAACTTGTTGGAAACATCAAACAATCAAACAACTAACATTCTAACATTTGTTTTTTATCTTTTTAGTTGGTTTTACTAACTAACTCAGTATTATCATTATGGGAAAAACGACTTAAATTATGTCGCTACCAGAGGAGATGGCTTGAGGTTGAGGTTGTACAAGTTTATTTATGAGCCAAATGCTCATTTATAATTTTTACAGTAGTACTGAAAGGTACCTAGAAAATTAATTTTTCAACTGTCTGTAGCCAATTTTGAAAATAAATTTGCACAATCATTTATAATGCCATTTGGAAAATAGCACTTCATATCCCATATATTTTACTTATTTTTTATACCATTTCTTTGAGTATTATTTTTGATAGATAAATTTAGCAATTTAAAACCTAATTTCTAGCCTTCATTTTGTTCATGATTAATATTTTAAAGAACTAAACATTCTATCGGATGAGAAATTTCTGCACTTTCTTACCGAACTACTTTGAAATATCGCTAATATGCTTGGAAAAATAAATGGAGAATGATGAATATAAATGGAGAATAATATTATTTAGGCTAATAACCTAACACTTAACAATCTATTTGTTAAGTTTTGGTTTCGTGAAAGCATTTTTAATGTCTCAAAATTGGAAATTATATTTTTAAAATAGCATTTTTTGATATTCTGATAACGACCATTAATAATGATTCAACAATGATTCAAGATATGATTTAGAAACAAATTTTTTCGACATAATTATAATAAAAAAATGGTCATACTTCGCTTTGGCTTTGTTCGCTTGGGTTTTTCCTTACTTTTGCAGCAGAGCCAAGCTATCGCTCCCAATAAAACGGACATTAACAACAAAGCGAGTACGATGAAAAGTATTATCAACCTAAATTTCATTATCAGGTCATTTAGCTTTTTCTTTTACATCATTATGAAGCTGAATACAAACAGAGATGCCACGAATTGATAAAGTTGGCGAATATTGATTATCCATCGTCCATCGCATCAACCTTATTGCAAAAGATAGACTTCTGCATCCATTCGCATTGCAGATTTCATCAAAAGCCTAATCCGTTGGTCCAAAACTTTAGTTGGAAATTTTGATATCAAAAATTAATGATAGAAAATGCACAAAAATTTATAAATTTACAAAAGTTTCAAAAATTTTCTTGTGAATTTTTTAAAAAAAGGAAGCAAAGAGTGAAATATTGCTAAATAAAATGCTCACTAAATTGCATCATACCAGAAAGGAATTACAGGTCCTTGAGGTGTGCAACATAATCGCCCACAACATTCTAAATCTGGCCGGCATCTAAAATTAAATTTCGTTGAAACTTTTTTTCACTTTTCCTAAAAATTAAATTAATTTCATGAAAAATACATTATCATTGGCATGTTTAATATTTAATATTCGCATATTTAAAAAAACCTATCTATGAATTAATTTCAAGATGTTTTTTAAATGATTTATGAAATCAGTAACTTTAACTTCCGAATTTCAAGAAGAGATCCAAAGAAATTCAAGGACAATAGTGCGTCTCATGGCATTCCGTGATAGTAGATAGTGGATAGAGTGTACCGCAACGTACCATAACAGAAGGAAAAATATCTTATAAATGAGTCAAATGTTTCCCGAATTTTACAACTTTGGCGTAATTTTTTTAGAAGTTCAAAAAAAGATAGATAGCAAGAAGATATCTTCTTCTTAAAATGAGGCTTAGAACCCAATAGCCATCATTTTGTGGTCAATTTTTGGCAATTGCACATTTTCCTATTTCTTATGCTTAATTCTGTAAATCAATTTTTAGAAAATTGTCAATAATAATTTTAGCCAATTTACCGAAATTCGTATCTTTCATTGCGGCCGGAAATATCGGCATCTTCAAAAACGCATTGAATGAATTCGTTATCATAACCCTCATAATGAATTCCTTTACTTTCAGGTCGGATGAGCAGATCCATATAAATGGCTTTGTACTTCGAAATGAAGGTTGCCTGAAAGCACCAAAATATAATTTAGCTAAATCTAATTTATCGTGAATTGTACAATTTTTTGACTGACCATTATAATCAATTTCATACTTTATATCTGATTTGATTTGTTGACCCTTCAATGAAATTTCAACTCCAATAGCTGTTCGCAAATAACTCTGCAACATTCTTTCATTCACGAAATATTCTTACAAAATGTTTTCAAAAAAATTACTAAATTGCTAACTTTCATTTTGACGTTTTTTAATATTATCAACGGAATATCGCAATTTTGCAATAAAGGATCTTCCATGCGATTTACAAGCAAATCGAGTTTTCACCTAATTAATTTCTTTAAAAAGATGAATAGTAAGTATGTCAATCCATCTGACGCCAATACTTCAAGATGCAAGTCGGAATTTTTAAAACTTATTCGTAATTCTTTTTAAGAAAAATTGATAAGAAAAATTTTCTAAAAAATTCTAAAATTTAATTTGGATTATGCGGAAAATTTTAAATAATGTGGTGTAAATTAGCAAACGAATTTCATTTAAGTATAAATGGCAACAGCAATATAGGAAAATGGTGATAACGAAGAATTTTTGATGAGAAAACAGCCACTTTAAAATAGAATTCTCTTAGTCGAATGGCGATTGCCAAATGTTTTCAATATGTCTACAGAGAAACTCGTTTCAAATGAATCAGTCAAGCAGTAAAGTTGCTAACAACTTAAATCTATCCGTACCTGCATTAAATCTTGATCAGTTTAATCATTTTGCAACATCTCAGATATCTGAGAAGTCGATAAAAAATAACTTTGCCTCACAATGGCTTTAAAATTTTACTAAATTTCATCTACATTATTTTTAATAAAAGCTGAAATGGCTTTTGCCTTAATGAAATGTTTTTAACAATTGTCGAGAATGGAGTCGCTAAGTGGAGGAGAAATCGAGCATCGATGCTCCAAAATGAGTAATAAATCAATGAACCATTCTAAAAGCCGCGTTGCTCGACCCGATAGGAGCGCGAGCTGATTTCTGATATATATTTCTGATATTCTTGTCGTCTTATCGCTATCTGTCACTAACCATTTTTTTGAGTTACAGCCATTTCCTCGATAATTAATATTGATCTGAGTACAACAACCCTAGTCGAGAAAAAATATATTTAAAAAAAATCTCTCTTCTCACTCTATGTTGATGGTATGGGTTATCCCCAAACTCGGGTTCCCTAATAGAGGTCTGGGAAATTGAGGCAAAAGGATAGATAAACTGTCAGAGCGTTTTTCCCAAGGACCTCTCGAGAAGATAGAGGGATTTGAACACTCACTGTTAAATTCCATATTTACCATTATTTACATTATTTTAAACTTTCATATAATAAAATAAATAACAGAAGATTATAAATGATAAGATTTATTTATTAAGCTATTGGAAGAATTACCATAGCAAACTCAATGAAGAATTAATTACATTTTGAGATTTTGAGATATTAACTAAATTTGATAAAATAAGGTAAATCAATAATAATTGATAAACTTATCGATATTGATAAGCTTTTATTGTCGATATTTATTTTTCTAGAAAAGAAAGAAGATAATTGACAAAATTGACAAATCTATTTTATTAAGGAAAGGCATCGAAAATCTTAGGTTAAACCCGACTGTTTTTGCGGAATAAATGAAGATGCATGAAAAATATTCATAGACAGCAGGCGTAACAGCCCAAAATCAACATCGTATAAAATCCAGGTGTGAAAATTAAATTTATAAATTATAATAATTACTGGACATTTAAAATAGAAAAGTGGCTTTAGCAGATTCTAGGAGCAACATTATTTGCATTATTATATATAGATTATTTTAACAGCCTATCCTTAAGAAGGCCAATAGAAAATTGGCAAATTTGTTGAAAATACTTAGATGTCCTGACAAGCCAAATCGAATCGAAACGTTGGAAAAGATTATCCGATAAATTTTTCAAAATTATACGAGAAAGAAAGCAAGATTTCGTTCGTGCAAAATATTTGTATAAATGAGAACATAAAAAATATGCTTTTATTAGATTCTAACATTAATTAAAGAGTAGAATATGGAATTAAATTATCAAAGAATTAGTTGATGGTACTTCTCGATATTGAACAAAAAGTTCAAATTTCTGAAAACTAACAGAACTTATTGGATCTTAGAATCCGAAAAACAAATAAGACTTCAGACAAGAGCTGAGGTCCCGTTTGTGTAATTCTGTATTTACTAAATAGAAAGAATATGTGAATGCTTTAGATGAAGTGCAAAAAAAACCGATTTGAATAAATTGCTTTCTGGACAAATAATAATATATTAATTTGAATAATTTAACAGTTCAGCAGCTTTTTAACTGAAAATTTCCCATTTTATGAATATGTTCACAAATAATTGTTACTATTTTTGCCTGAAAGAATGCACGGAGGCATCAAAGAAGAAGAAATTGGTTAAATGATGGTTGTATAAAAGCTGGAAAAGAAAGAAAATTTTTGTGAAGGAAAACCGGATTATGTTTGAATAAAATGATTCGATGTAAAATGATTGTTGTGTAAAATCGCCCACCACATTTTATATTTCCTTTTTTTCTTCATTTATTTATTAAATAAATACTGGAAAAAAGATTTTGGAATATTAGATAATGAATGCATTAAAGATAAAAGGAAGAAATCATATCAGAAATCAAAAATTATATGTAAAAAAGCAGATTAACGTTCAAAATATTTTCTCCAAGAGGCCATGTTTATCAATAAATATGACTTTTCATCGTTATAAAGCAGATTTTGCCTACAGATGGTGAAGTGCTAAATTTATGATTCATTTGAACAAGTTATTTTCTTCTAACAATATTTCTGACTAACATTTCTGATTTGTTCTTACTATGGTATATCGTTTAGATCACCCAGCAATCATACAAAACAATTCAGAGGCTTATTTAGAACTACAAATGGTTCTACAGAAATTATCTGGATTTCACTTTGATGATAATATAGCAAAAATGGCTCTCGGATTGCATGTCTGTGATTTGTAATCGTTAGCCATTCCGTTAAAAATATCTTAAGTAACCTATCGTTCGTCGTTATATGCTTCAAACTTGGGTAATTAAACCCTTATTTTAAATCACAATAATGTATATCATTAATCATACAAAACAATGAAAATCATACAAACAAACGAAAACTGAAACGAAAGCGTAATAACCAGTCTTGATTTTCGTCGTTAATCCTCCACGACTGAAATAAATTATTGGTCTTATATACCCATCTCTTTATGTCCTTTGCTTCATCAGGTTAGTGACCTTTCATTTCGACCTGCTAAGCCGTGTTTTGCCGATTTTTACTGCTGGAGGGGCTTTTGATAGCCAAACTCGAATTCTTTTTCTGTCAGTGCCTTCAGTTATCTCTAAAGGGACTATTAAATTGATTGGTCAAATCGTTGTCCGATTGTTAACCAATCTCAATGAAACTGGACGTATTTTGCCATCGGAGCTTCAATGTAGATCTGTGATCGAGCCAACTTGCATTGCGATCTCGGAGTCGAATTGGTCAAAATAAATATTGAGTTGAATTGCTGATCAACACTTACGAATAGCCGCGTATTTATATTACCGAGTGAGTCTGAACCCTATAATTCTCGTTGAAGTTGCGGATACCATAACATCGCCAATATAAATTCTTGAAGATCTCCTTTGCTACTGGTTAAGTAGGTGGGCGTAGATGACGATTAAATACTGTCATACTAAAAGAAGACTTGGAATCAATCCGAATTCTTGTAAAGCGATACAATTGTATGTTGTCCTTTTCAACTGGTTTTCGGATATTTTTTAACAAAGGAGTCGTGTGACATCACACTTTATAGTGTTAAGTTTAGTTTGATGGAAAGCTTTCTCAATATCTACCATGATTTTGTGTGATCGTGCTCTAAGTAGTACGTCTAAATCATTGAGCAATGCTTGCCCTCACAGTAAATTGTCATTATATGATAGATAGTTGTGTGCTCCTTTTTCCAGGCGTAAGCACTGGATGATGTGGTAGATAAGAAGCTAAATCGAAATTTATCGAAGCTTTTTCTACCTTTTCTATAATTGTAGAGTGATGATATTACCATATTCTTCTATTTTGCTCCCGCATGGATGGTTGCATAGAGTTTTAATCGTTTATTTCAAACACCTGAGTGATTTGTCGTAGTTGTTATTTGATATTTTTTGCTGCGATGTTTTCCATAGTCACCATAATGCCCTTCTTTAGTTATTTCCACCTTGTCAACAAATTGCTAGCTAAATCATCGATGCTTCGATCCTCATTCATTCTAGTGACAAGAACTGGTCCAAGTATAATTTTTCGTCAATTCCGTTATGAGATAAATAGTTGCTCTGTATGATGGCAGAAACCGGAGCTTAACCGTTTTAATAGTTTGGTAATTTTGACTGCGTTGATAAATTGACTCTGTATCGCTCTTCTTCGGGTACTTCCACAGTAAATTGTTGTATGGCTGAATCATTGATTGTTTCCTTGCTCGATGCTTCTATCCCCATTCGTTCTAGAGCTGGTCCAAGTATAAATTTCCATTCTTTACGAAATTAACAGTTGTGTGATGGCAGAAACCGGAGGTTAGCAGTTTTAGTCGTCCAATAACGAATCTTTCGTAAAAATCGATAACAATAATTATTTGTGGTTTTCCAAACACGATTGGTTCCGAAGGTTTCTCGCATAAATTCAGTTGTTCGTATGAGCTCGTTGAATTGGTTGTATTAACTTTTTTATCACCTATGCCCTTACTTTAATTGGTTCGTTCGTATCTATTATTAATTCACTCGATTAGTGAAATGGATAAGAACGTACTTCCAAGCGTATTCACCATCATAGTTTTACTTTCATAATGGTCGAATTGAGTTTGTTTGCAAGAGATTCGGTTTCGATTCGGAGATTCAGTTATGCTCCAACGTCAAATAATAATCGTCATCGCACATTGG